AGACCAGCCGGAGCGGATCGCGCGGGGACATGCGCCAGCTTCGGCGGCGGCAGCTGCGGGCGAGCTGCATGGCGGATCGCAGCCGCCTGCGCCCTCTACGCCGCCGCCCTCGACTCCGTCCCGCGCGCTTCGCGCCGGTCGCCGGCTGCTGGCCAGGCATGCCTCGGACGCCGCGTCGCTGTCCTCGGCGGGGGAGGGTGTGCCGTCAGGCCTGCTGACGCCGCTGGAGTTGTCCCCGGCCCCCGGCAGCCTGGGCCCAGACGCGCCTGATCTGGGCGCGCTCGAGTTGGGCGTCGCCGCTGCGGAGTCCGGGGAGCTCGCCGGGGAGCTCGCCGCCGACGACGGCACGCCGTGTGTTGCGATGACCGTCGACGCCTCGGGCGCCATGGGCAGCGCCGACGCGCTGGCATCGCCCGCGGCGGCTCCAGCCCAGGCAACACCGGATTCAGCTGCGCTAGTCGAGGGGGCGGCCATGGCCCGTCAGTCGCCAGCGACGCAGGCGGGCGCCCAGGGATCGACACCACCGACGTCGCCATCGGGCCATCACGATTCGCCTCCCATTTCTGGGGCCGTCGGTGGCAACGTTGACCAGGTGCTTGGGACGTTTGTCACGCGCTCGCTGGCTGACGTGTTCAGCTGGCCAGACCACTGCCTCACCGCCCTCGAGACCGGGCCCAAGTGGCCTGCTGATCCCTTGGACACGCTCAGAGATGCGATGGAGAGCACGACGTACAGTACCTCGTTCTCAGGCATCGACGCGCCTGGGACAGCGATTGCGATGCTCGAGGAGTGCTTGGCGCAACGCACGGGGCGTGCCACACGTAACATGCGGCATTTGGCTTCGTGTGAGTACTACGAACCCAGCAATGCTGAGTTGCGGCGCCACCCTTGCGCCCCAGAGCACATGTTCGGCGACATCGAGGACTTCTGGGATCCGCGCGTGCGAACGGAGCTCGACAAGGTTGAGGACTCCATGGGCATCGTGGCAACGCTCGACTCGCTCTCGAAGCTGATCCTCAGCGGCAAGGCTGCGCGGAGGTTTGCGCCGTGCATGTTATGCAGGCGACTGTGCGCTTATCCCACGGCGAAAGTACATTGGTCTGGGACGTCTTGCATCGACTGGAGTCCAATCGGATCAAACGACAGAGAGACTGGAAAAACTAGCCGGGTCACTGCCATTTGGTTCTGCCTGCGTCTGTTAGTGCAGGAATCGGTGATCGTGCACGAGAATAGCCACTTGTTCGACGTGCAGATCTTGCAGAGGTTTCTCGGACATCTCTGCGACATCCAGACGCACATCTTCGAGCCGACGGAGGTGGGGTGGCCAGTCAGGAGGCGCCGCAGGTGGGCGCTCTTGACGCACAAGCGCTGGGTGAGCAGCGCGGGCGCCTGAGTTCCTTCGTTCGTTTGGGGGGGGGGGAAGGGGTGGGGGGCCCTGGCTCTCGCATCACCGTCCGACCCGATTGCCTTTTCGGATCGTGGAATCGTGGGGCGCTCGAGCGATCCGAGATCAGAGATCCCGAGACCCCGATGCCGAGCGATAGGCGCGATCGCCGAGGGGCCACGCGATCTCAATTGCAGATCTCAGCGGTCGGTCCATCGGAGTCCATCGGAGTTGACGATTTTAGATTAGAATGGGTTGGGAGCTATAACGTTATAGAATTAGACGTTTTAGACGGCTCAGCTCAGGTGGCCCAGCCGTGCGCGATGTTCGTGTCCATGTTCGCCCGCACGATGAGGTGCGGCCCCGACGTCTTCATGGTCGCGAAGCAGGAGGAGCTGATCTCTGAGCTGAAGTGGGCGCGTTCCCGCCGGCTGAGCAGGAGCAAGGCGCTTGCAAAGCTCCACGTCGTGGCCGCCGACGTTGCCGCGGGGAGCCTGGCGTTCGACGCGGCCCTCACTGAGTGGGAGGCCAACAACCTCGCGGAGTATCGCCGCCTGTACGGGACAGGGCTGTGCTACAACCTTCACCAGTCAGCTGTAGCAGGCCGCGGGATGGCGTCGACGTACAACGTCCTCCAGACGATCATCGCTAACAACGGCGTGTGCTGGTTCGACCCTTTGCAGCGTTGGATGACGCCGATGGAGCTGCTCGTGGCCCAGGGCTTCCCCGTTCTGCCGGAGCTCACGCGCCCTTTGGCGATGCGGGGCCGCCCTTGCTGCAGCTTCGCTGCAGCCCCAGCGGCCGCCCGCAATCGCTCGGAGGTGATCCGGCAGGCCGGCAACTCCATGAACGTCCACGTTTGCGGCGTCCATTGGCTGTGGGTCCTCATGGCGGTGACGCGCCTTGACCAGCTCTGAGTGCTCTGAGCTGGCATGCTTGGCTGACGGGAGGAGGGGGATGGGGCGATGAGGCGATGATGGGAATAATGTGATGATATGATGATATGATGATATGATGATGAGGATCATGAAGAGGGGGGTGGGATAGGGATAGGGGGGTAGGAGGATAGGAGGATAAGAGGATTAGAGGATAGGAGGATAGGACATAGGATGACGAGGAGGTGGATAATGAGGGGGAGGGGGATAATCAGGATAAGGATAAGGTAAGAAGGTGGATGGACAAAGCAGGGTGGATGGGGGGTCGGGTGCACGCGAGGCCGAGACGCGTGCTGCATGCATGTAAGATATGCGTTACACGTAGGGTGCTGAAGCGGAGAGGCGCGGCTCCAAGACTCCAACGCGTGAGTCGCATAGGACTCACCTGACGCATTCACGCACGCGCCGTCAGTATTTCTGTATTCTGGATTGGGGGTCTGACCAGGATGTGTACAGCTTTCAGTTTGTATGGCGGCATCGGTGCTTGAGTGCTTGAGTGCTTGATTGTGTAGTTTTGTTTCTTTGTTTCTAGAGCCCGCGCCGCGCCTCGCAGTCTCTCGCCTCGCAGGGCCTGCTTCTCGAAGAGTTGGGGGTCGGCGCAGATGCAGCTGAGCTCTCTCTCTACTGCTCGAATCAGGGGGTCGTCTACTGCTCTCTCTCTACTGCTCGAATCAGGCAGACGCGGCAGACGCGCAGGAAAGGGCGGGGGTGGGGTCGGGGCGAGGGGGGGGGGGGCGCGGAGGCGCGGAGGCGCGGAGGGGGAGCAGGGGGGTGATGGGGGGGGGCGGGGCAGGAGGAGAGGAGGAGGAGCGGAGGAGAGAAGAGAGGGGCGGGGGGGATGGACGGGGGCGGGGGTCGTCGAGGGCGAGGGCATCCCTGATGGGCGGTGGGGGCTCGGATTGCCTTCTCCTCGCCCCCTCTCCTCCTCCTCCTCTCCATCGTTCTCCACTTCCTCTCCCATCCTACTCATCGTCTCATCGTCCTCCTCTCCTCCTCTTTTCCTCTTCTCCTCCTTTGCCGCGCTCCCCCCCTGTTCATCGCCCTCCCCGCCCCCTCCCGCCGCCCGGCATCCCCCCCCCCGTCTCGTCCTTCTCCTCTCCCCTTTCTTCCCTTCTCTCATCTTTTTCCATGCTCTCATCCACCTCGCCGCCCCCTGGCCACAGGCGCGCAGTGGCGCGCCGGGGCTGCTGGGGCCCGGCGCTGCGTGGCAGCCCGGCAGCTCGGGGCGCTCGGGGCTGGTCCTGGCGGCGCTCGGAAGGGAGGGGTTGCCAGGGGAGGCGCGCGGCGCTGCGGCGCCCCCGCGCTCCCCGCTCGCTCTTGCCATGTCACAATGTCACATGTCACGTCTTGCCCGCATCGGGCGCCCCAGGGGGGGGAGTGAAGGGGGGGGGATTGGGGGGGATTGGGGGGCGAGGGGGGCGAGGGGGTGAGAGGGAGGGTGAGAGGGTGAGGTTGTTGATGTTTTTCCGTATTTCCCCAATCAGAGCTTGCCTCTGCAGGAGTCCTAGCGGCGGAGCCCTAGCGGAGTCATGGTTAGATGAGGTGCGGCGCCGATTTCGGCAGCGCGCCCAAGTGCCAGGGCATCAGGGCACCCAGGTGCCCGGGTGCCCGTGTGCCCAGGGGGGGGGGCCCAGGTGCCCGCGCGCCCAAGTGTCAGGGCGCCCGGGCGGCCCGGGGGCCTGGGCGCCCTGGCGCCCGCTGCCGGTGTTCGAGTGCTGTATAGCCTCTTAGCACTATAGCCGCTATAACGCTATGCTTTCTACTCATAGCAGGGCCGATAGCCCCATGAGCCCCATGAGACATCTAGCCCTATGGACCTACGGACAGCCTGTAGCACTGATTACCTTATAGCCCTAGCGCCCTAGCCCTATATCCCAATAGCCTTGTAGCCTGTAGCCTTATAGCTAGCCCTATAGCGCTATAGCCTTATAGCCCTATAGCTTATATCCCTCTAACCCCATAGCCCCATAGCCCTGTAGCCCCACAGCCCTATAGCCCTGCAGCCCTCTCTAGCCCTGTAGCCATAGCCCTGTCTATGTACCCATGGGCCTACTGCCCGATAGCCTGATAGCCCTAATCGCCCAATCGCCGTTTACAGTATAGCCTACGCGCCTACGCATAACACTATATCTCTAAAGCACTATAGCGCTATAGCGCTATAGCCACTGTAGCCATATAGTCATATAGTCCGACATCATTAGAGCCTGATAGCACCATGACCCTAGAGCTCTACAGCCCTATAGCCCCACAGTCCCATAGTTGTTTTAGCTCTACATGCTCTACATGCCCATGGCCCTACAGCCCTAAAGCCCTATGGCCCCATAGCCTATGGCGGCCCGCGGCCCCACATCCCTGCGGCCCTACAGCCCCAGCCGCGACCATACTACGATACTACGATTGGATTATTCACGCTTGCTTGGGCGAGTTGGCGGCCGTAGAGCCGTAGAGTCATATGTTCATTGCGTTCATAAGGTTTTGGCGGCGGCGCCGCCGTTGCTCCACTCGTCAAGTCATCGACTGTCGCACTGTCGCGCCAACACAGATGCCGCGGCCACACTTGCCCATCCAGGCTCGAGCTTGCTTCAAGCTTTCAACGTTTCTCAGCGCTTGCAGCGCGAGACCAGGCATCTACCTCTACTGCCTGGTGCTAGTGACCAACGGCGCATCAGCGGGCTCGCGCCATGCCGAATCACCCGCTGAAGCACCAGCCCAGCGGCAAGATGGGCGACGACAACGACGCCGCGGACCACGACGGGAAAGGGGCTCCGGCGTTTGCAGCCCAGGCAGAGCTGCAGCTTGCACAGGCCGTCCTGAACGAGCAGCTGTACGTGCCGATGAAGAGCATCCATCACCGCCTGCCAAACCTGAAAGGCTTGATCCTCCAGGAGAAGGTCTTCGAGCTCTCCGGGGTGAAGGGCATGGCGAACATCGTGGTCCCCTTCTTCAAAGACGGCAAGAAGACCATGGAGCCGCATCCTTTGAATCTGCGCCGCCAGGACGTGATCGTGAACCAGTACACCAACCTGGTTCTGGAGAACGGAAACGTTCCTGGCGTGAGGGGCGAGCCGTGGGCAGTGGCGTCGCCGACGACCGATTCATTCCCGCTCCTGATGATCAGCTACGGCACCTTGACGAGGGCGGTGTACAATGCCCACGAACGCGCCCCAGGTAACCCTTTCGTCAAGCGCTCCATCGAGCGCGGGCTCCAGAACGTGACGGTCTTCGACGCGAGGCTGCCCGATGACGTGCTGACGTGGCTGCGTGATTGGCACAACGAGTGGCACGGCGGAAGCAGGTTCACGTTGATCCAGTGTTGGCAACTCATTTCTCAAATGGATTCTGATTTCGATGCTTTGAGCACATCAGAGCACAGGTACGAGAAGATCTGGGATTACATCACTGATACGTACAAGTCGGTGTCAGATAGAAAGATCAGAAGCGAGAATGAATTCATCAGGGGGCGGACCATGATCAATCTTTTGAAGCAGTTGAAGATTATGACAGTCACAGAGGAGTTCCTTGGCACGCACTGCAAGTTCACCGAGTGCAACAACTCCGTGGCGAACATCAACCTGCACGCGCCCAGCCAGTGCATCTTCAGCGCCGAGTCGAGGTCGGTGGTCGACATCGACGTTCTCGTCCAAGTATGGAAGGACGCCTTGCCATTTTGCTTGCCAATGGAGGCCATGCCCGGCCGCAAGACGGTGTACCTCTTCGACAAAGTCATGATTGAGAGAATCAAGTGGATCCTCTCGCCGATGGCGGGGTCGGCTGCCATGAAAAAGTGCAGGAAGGAGATCGAGGAGCGGAAGAAACTTGAAGCCCAGGCACTCGCGGAGATGGCGAAGGAATCCGCTGAGTCTCTCGACCCTGGTGATCGCGATGGTGGCGATGCTGCCGCCCCTATCGAAGGCGTCGTCCCGGCAGCTCCGGCGGCCAAGGGCAGGGCAAAGGCAAAGTCAAAGGCAAAAGCAAAGGCTAGGCAGAGGGGCGCAAGGGCAGCACCTGTCAAGAAGAGGAAGGTTGACGAGACACCAGTGGTTGTTGATTTCGATGATGAGGCTAACCACGCGTTCTGGTTGACCGACATGCTCACGGGCATTTGCGCGGCCATCGACAATTACCCAGAGTTGCCCAAGAGCGAGAGGGTGCAGATCGTGGCGATGCTTAGCCCGTTGGCTCTCGAGTTCCTCTGGTGCGGCAAGGTCACGATTGGCACCGTAGTCTACTCGAAATGGTTGGACCTCCGTACCAAGCTCGCGTCTCTGGCCGTCAACGCTGCAGAGACGCGCTCTACGACGGCAATTGCCTCTGGGAGAACGGGGGCGGACGTGACGACTTTGTCTGATGTTCTGCTTGCCGCCCTCTCCGACGGCGGTGACCCATCTGCGGCCTTGGAGGATGAGTCGTGCGAGGCCAAGCTCAAGAGTGACCTCCAGTCTAAGATGAACGAGTTGACCGGCCCGCGCCTCAAGGACTTGAGCAACTTCTTCGCTGATAACAAGATCAAGCTGCCCGCCCGGGTCCACGCCGCCTACGCGCGCATCTTGCGGGACGCCACGAATGTGGACACCTGGGCCCATCGCGATGCGACCGAGATCACGCACATGAGGCGGGTGGCGACGGCGCTGACGGGCTACGTGAAGTCCGCTGTGATGGCCACATTCCCAAACGCGTGGTTCGAGCTCGGCATGTCCATCGTGGAGATGACGCGGGCGACGTCGCAAATCCCGCAGTGCGTGGAGGAGAAGCTGGCTAAGGAGCTCGCGAGGCCAGAGGACATCATTCGCTTCAGTGAGCTGCGATGGATCTACTGCGACCAGGCCGTGAGGGACACCGCCGCCGCCATGGGGATCTCGAACCTGGCCGAGACCACGGAGTCGCTTTCATCGGCCTTCAACGCCATCCCGAAGTTCGACAAGGTCAAGGCGGCCACGTGGAGCCAGTGGCAGGAGCTCTGGGTGGAGAGCATCGCGGATGCAATGGAGGGGAGCGCGGGCCCGCAGGAGGTTGCGATGGACCACGCGAAACGCCGGGGGCTCGTCAGGGCCGCGGCCAAGCAGCAGGTTGCCTCGGGGCCCCGCGGGCAGTCGTCGCAGGGCCCAGGGGAAGAGGGCGCGCCGCCCCCCGTGGTGCCCGTGGTGCAGAAGGTGCATCCCAAGGAAGAGCAGGAGCTGATGAGCGTCGAGTCGCTCTTCGGGTCCTACTCCTAGCGGCTTTTCTAAATCACGTCAATCCCCCCCTGGCCCCTCACCTCCCCTCGCCGCGACCCCCGCCCCTCCCCCCTTTCACCCTCGCCTCTCATCTCCTCCTCCTCCCCTCCTCCCCTCCTCCCCCCTTTCTCCCTCCACTCCTCGTCTCTTCCTCTCATCCCCGGCTTTCCCGGCCTTCGCGCATTCCCTCCTGCTGTCCTGCTGTCCTGCTGTGCTTGCCCCCCGTTCCTCGCCCCTCCCCTCCCCCCTCCCCCCCATCCCCCGGGCCTCCCCCCCTCGTCCCCGCCCCCCCCTCCTCCCTCCGCCCTCCCCACGCGCCCAGGTACGTCGACGCGAAGGCGTTCGCGCTGGCAGCGGGCTCGCAGTTAAACCTGGTCGGCGCCGTCGATGTTCCAGAGGCTGTCATCGTGGAGTTCGAGCACGAGAAGTTCCCGAGTAGCTACTTCATCAAGATGTTCTTCCAGTTCGTGGAGGCGAGGTTGTACGAGCACGCGTTCCATCGCACGCAGTGCTTTGAGGACGTCTCCATCAGCTGGGCGAACATGAGGTTCGATAAAGAGAAGAAGAATCAGATCGTGAAGCCCGCGCTGGCGGTGAATCGCAGCGAGTTGCAGGAGGACTTCAAGCTTGGTTTCGCGGGGCCAGTGTCGTTCACCAAGGGTGCCAGTGGACTTCTAGTTGCAGCCTTGAGGATGAGAGCTCGCAGGCGCGACGACGACGTGGTCCTTGGAGTCTACGTGACCAGCGACGGGGCGGACAGTCTCAATTCGGATTGCACAGTGCCCGCGTGGCTGGCGCCGACGGCGAAGACGGAGCAGCAGAAGGTGACCATGGAGGTGGGGGCGGAGATCAAGGAATACACTGTGCCAGAGCATCTGAAGTTCAGCGGCGGCGGCTACCCTGGTTTGGTTAACGCCGAGAAGGTGAGCCTGCAGCTGTGGGACCTGATTCCCGTCGCGACCGAAGGGGATGATGAGAAGAAGATCTGGCCGCAGAAGGGCGATGAGTTGGTGCGCGGGGCTAAGGGCACCAAGGGCAAAGGCGTCAAGGGCGCCAAGGGGGGGGGCCGGGGCAGGGCGAACCAGCTGCCGACAAACGTGAGCGCGCTGTTCGGCCCGTCGGCGGCGGCCGACTACATCATTCAGCACGCCAAGCCGGATGACGCGGCCGCGCCCAAGGCCCCTCAGGACGGCGGCGGTGGCAGCCTGTCCAAGGAGCAGACGCATCTGCTGTTGTGAGCAGATTGATCAGAGCGAGCAGAGCAGCAGAGCCGCAGAGCTGCGCGGGAGAGCTCAGGTTGCCGGCGCGCCAGCGCTGGCCGCCAGCGCTCGAGTCTCCTGGCGAACGGCGGGGCGGCGGGGCATGGGGACGGCGGGAAACAGGCCACTGGGGGGCTAGCTAGTGGGCCTGGGAGGGTAGGAAGGGGGGAGGGGTGGATCCGACCATATTGGCTTATTGGATTATGGAGTGATTGGAGGATTGGAGGGGGGAGCTGAGGAGGGGAGGGGAGGGCGGGGGCGCAGGGGGCGACGAGGAGAGAGAGAGAGAGAGAGAGAGAGAGAGAGAGAGAGAGAGAGAGAGAGAGAGAGAGAGAGAGAGAGAGAGAGAGAGGAGAAGAGAGAGAGAGAGAGAGAGAGAGAGAGAGAGAGAGAGAGAGAGAGAGAGAAAGGATAGGAGGGTAGGAGGGTAGGGGGGTAGGAGTTAGGAGTTAGGAGGGTAGGAGGGTGGAGGGAGGAGATGCCGCGACGCCCTGCGTGGCAATATTGCCATCTTGCCCCTGGTGGGCCGTCGGCGCTACTGCGCTTTTTTTTTTTTTTCTTTTGCTCTGTGCTCCGTGCTCTCTACGAGCCTCTCTCCTCATCTCCTCCTCTCCTCTCTCCTCTCTCCCTCCTCTCTGAGAGCTCTCTCTGAGTCTTCTCCACCTCTCTCTCTCTCCTCCTCTCCTCCTCTCCTTCTCTGAGACTCTTCTCGCTTCTCGTTCTCATTCTGGAATGCTCAGCCTGCTCGGCCTTAAGTGAACGTGCAGCACGTGCTCCGTGCTGCTGCAGGGAGGAATCAGCGGCGTCGTCGCCGCGTCGTCGCAAAGAGACGGGGCGGAGAGACTGGTTCCACCGCTCCCCCCGCCGCCTCCGCCGCCTCCGTTCGACTCGCCAATCGCTCGATCGGCAGATCCGATCGTCGTCATCGGCGTCGACCGTTTGCCCTCTAGCCATTCGGGGGTCGGTTTCGAAATCGGCTTGGATTTCGCTCTAGCGCCATAATCCTAGGTCTCGACGTCCTCGGCGTCCTTCGTCCTTCGTCTCCTCATGATCTTAACCTCCCAACCTCCCTTTCTCTCCTTCTCTCCGCCCCCGTCCGCCCTGCCCCCCCGCCCCGATCGCCTTCGGGTCCTTCGGCCCCCCGGGCTCCTCCGGTCCAGCCCCCCCTCGAGCCCTTGCAGCCGCTCTGGGGCCCTGGGCCCTGGGTCGCGTCTGGGCCCCTGGGCTGGGCCCCACTTCCGAGGCGGATGCGGCCGCGGCGACGAGGCCGATGAGCCGATGAGTCCTGAACTTGGGAAACCTTGGCCCTTGAAGGGCCTTTGAGCCTTAGAGCCTTCATTCGAGCCTGTTTGAGCATCGAAACCTTCGAGCCAGGCTCGAAGGTTTCGAGTCGAGTCTCGAACGGGCTCGGATGCCCTCGAACCCGACTCGAACCCTCGATAAGCCATTTTGGCCAGGGCAGCGGGCCCCGCGAGGGCCGCGGCCCGCCGGCCGCCGCCGGCCGCGCTGCGGCGCTGTCCGAATGCTTCGGCGGCGGCGGCCCCGCCAGCGGCACCAGCTCCGCGTTCGCTGCCGCTGCCGCCTCGTGCTGCACGCCGACTTCCTGGCGAAGACGCGCCGGGCCAGGGAGGTGTGGGCCCACGCCACGCGCCCCTCTCACACGGCTGGCCTTTTGGGCCAGGCCCCTCGCGACGTCGTGGGCTGGCTTGGCAGGTGCCCCCCCCATCCCTCCCCCTCCCCATCCCCCCTCCTCCTCCCCCACCCCCCCCCCCTTCCTCCTCTCCTCCTCCTCTCCTCCTCCGCCCGCTCCTCCCTCCTCTCCTCCCCCCCATCCTCCCCATCCTCCCCCTCTCTCCTCGGTCCACCCTTCCTTCCCTTCCTTGGCATTCCTTGGCCCTTCCTGCCCCTTTCCCCCTCCCTCGCTGGCCCCTCGCCCTCCCACCTCCCCCTTCTCCTCCCATCCCCCCCCTGCCCCAGCAGGCACTGCGACCTCGTGCGCAAGCTCGTCGAGACGTCGGCGATCGAGCCTGCGACGGTCCAGTCTCGTCGTCGTCTCGTCGTCGTCGTCGTCGCGTCGTCGTCGCCGTCGCCGTCGCAGTAGCCGTCGCCGTCGCCGTCGCCGTCGCCGTCGCCTCCGCCGTCGCCCGTTGCCGCCCGTTGCCGTCGCCGTCGCCGTCGCCGCCGTCGCTGTTGCCGTCGCCATCGCCGTCGCTGTCGCCGTCGCCGTCGTTGTCGTCGTCGTTACCGTCGTCGTCCTCGTCGTTGTTGTCGTCGTCGTTGTCGCAGCCCAGGTCAGACTCTTCTGGCTGAGGGTGTGCACGGTGGTCTGCGCCGCGGTCGCGGAGGCGTGCAATACGCGCTTGGCCGAGGGCCAGGGCCGGAACCGCGGCGCCGCCGGCGCCGTCCCCGCGCCGCTGTACGGCCCCTGGCCCTGGAGCTCGCGGCACGGCCCTGAGCCCCGCGACGTCTTCTGGCTGCAGGTGAACGCGTCCACCCTCATGCTCGAGGACCCCCCCTATCCCCTATCCCCTCAGCCCCTCGCCCCCCCCCCCCTCCTCGAGTTCCCCATTCCTTTTCATCCTCTTCCTCTCTTCCTCGCCTCCTCTCCTCATCACTCTCCTCGTTTTCGTCCTCTCATCCTCTCATCCTTTTTATCATCCTCCTCTCCTCCTCATCCCACTCCCGTTCCTCTCCGCTCTCCTCCTCGGCTCCTCACCTCATCCTCACCTTCCTTCTCCTTCTCCCCTCCCCCTTCTCCCTCCTCCTCCTCTCCTCCTCCTCCTCCTCCTAGCCCTCCTGTCCTCTCCTCCTCCTCATCTTGCTGCAATGCTGCAAAGCTGTTGAACTACATTGCGCGATCTTGGAGAACCTTGAGGCCATGGCGGCCATGTGGCTGCCATGGCTCGCTCTCTGAGGCCTCGGGGCCACCTTGGGCCCTGGGCCCCGGGCCGTTTGCAGAATCGGGGAGGGGGGGGGGGGCGGGGGTAGTGGGTAGTTCGTTCAACTGCTTGCGCTCACTGGCCCACTGCTGCTGCTCCTTTCCTCCTCCTCCTCCTCCTCCTCCTCCTCCCCCCCTCCTCCCCTCCTCCTCCCCTCCCCCTCCTCCTCTCCTCCTCCTCCTCCTCCTCGCTTCCTCGCTCCTCCGCTCCTCCTCCTCCTGATTTCGCCCTGCCCCGAGAATCCCGACGCCTGGTGGGAGTGCGTCGAGCGGGGGAGGAGAGCTGCGAGGCGGCGGGCGAAGGGCCAAAGCGGCGGCGGCAGCTCCAGCAGCTCCAGCTGGACCACGGAGCCCGCCTCGCTGGCCAAGCACCTGGTCGCGGCGCGGTTCATGATGCACCGGCCCGCCAGGTCGCCGTCGCCGCCGCGGCCAGGTCGCCCCTCTTCTCCCCTCCTCCGTCCTCCGTTTCATCTTCCTTATCTTTCTCAATCTTCCTACTCCTCCTCCTCCTCCTCCTCCTCCTCCTCCTCTTCTCCTCCTCCTCCTCCTCCTCCTCCTCTCCTCCGCCTCCTCCTCCTCCTCCTCCTCCTTCTCCTCCTCCTCCCTCCTCCTCCTCCTCCTCTCCTCCTCCTCCTCCTCCTCCTCCTCCTCCTCCTCCTCCCCCCCCTTCTCCGCCTCCTCTTCCTCCTCCTAGTTCTCCTGCTTCTCCTCTTCCTCCTGCCCTCCGGGGCCCTCCTCTCCTGCCCCCCTCATCTCCTCATCTTCCTCCTCCTGTTTCCCTTCCTCCTCGCCCTCGTCCTTCTCTCCTGTTCCTGCTCCTTCGACGGTGCTGCAGCGGCCGCGAGCGGCGCTGGTGCAGGGCGGCCGGCGCCGGTGCAGGGCGCCCCCGCGGGTCCCCACGTCCTAACGTATATAATGTGTGTACATATATAATGCACATATAGGAAAATATAATACATAATGTACATATATGTATACATGTATTTATATATACATGTATACACATATGTATATATGTATGTGTATGTATGTATGTATCTATGTATGTATGTATGTATGTATGTATGTCGAGCGCGGCGCGGTGGGGCGGCACGGGGGGAGTTGGGCACCCCCAGCGATCCTGCTGGGTATCTGATGAGGGTGGCCAATCGACGATTGGAGTTCCACGAGTATGGATTCTCTATCCAATGGTTCCGCATCCACGTCCCCCAATGCCCCCCCCCCGCCGCCCCGCCGCGCGCCGCCGCGAGGGGTGGGCGGACTTGCGGCGCCTGCTCGGCAGGTGAGGCGCCCCAGGCGGCCCAGGCGCAGCCGCCCGAGGCGGCCGAGGCGCCGCCGGCGGCTGCCGCAGGCGTTCGTCCTCCTCGTCTCCTCGTCCTCTCGCCCTCTCGTCCTCTCCTCCGTCTCCTCCGTTCCGCCGTTCCATCCTCCTCTCCTCCTCAGTTCCATCCTCCTCCTCCTCCTGCTCCTCCTCCCCCCCCTCCTCCTCCTCCTCCTCCTCCTCCTCCTCCTCCTCCTCCTCTCCTCCTCCTCCTCCTCCTCCTCCTCCTCCTCTCTCCCTCTCTCCTCCTCATCCGTCCCCTGCTCCTCCTGATCCGCCTCCTGCCCCTCTGTTCTTTCTTTCCTCCCCTGGTCCTCCACTCGCTCCTCCCCCTCCCCCTCCTGCTCATCATTCTTCTCATCTGTCCCCCCTCATCCTTCTCCCCGCCCCTCCCCCCTTTGGCTCTGCAGGCCTGGGCTGCCTGCCATCGAGTTCGACGGGTTCGACGAGTTCGACGAGTTCGACGAGTTCGAGCTCTTCGAGCTCTGGCTCTGGGACCTCGAGCGGGTCGAGCGGCCGCGTGCTGATCGGCTTGTGAGGTCCTCTTCATCCTCCCCCTCTCTCCTCCCTCCCCTCCTCCCTCCTCCTCCTCCTCCTGCCCCTCCTCCTCTCCTCCTCCTCCTCCTCCTCTCCTCCTCCTCCTCCTCCTCCTGCTCGTCCCATCCTCTGGGCTCCTCCTCCTCTTCCTCGTCATTATCCTCCTCCTCCTCTCCTCCTCCT